CACAGTTCATAATTTTGAGGCTTGGAGGGTCTATTTGATTAACAAAATTTATATATTTATCGTAAAGACAACGAGGATCGTACTGCGGTGTTAATATTTTAACTGGGGTGGAACTATGGCGCATGTATTTTAACTTTGGCGGAAAGGAATTTAAACGGCACATGAAGAATCCTGCTCTTGATCACCAAGAATCTTCTCATCAAGGAAAAGAGACTGGGCATCTTCCGCCATATTTAATTACATCTATTTTTATTTTCTATTTCACATAAAGATGCTCTCGGCGTAAAATATACATTAATATCAAGTAATAATGCTTTGATATAATACTAGTAAATAAATAAACTCACAAAGAGGAATGTACTTTGACAAGTACATGTAATGATAAGTTTAATTATTGAACAAATGTAAGAATAATACTTGATGTAATGCAGTTTTGACCTCACATATTCAAAGAGTGCAATGATGTAAAGAAACATTCATTTTATGTAATATTAAAATGTCAACACAATATTAGAGTAATTTTTTCTTCACATAATGAACTTCTTACTTCAAGTTATAAAGAATGTTTGAACTTCATTTAACAGAATTAACATGATGTTAAGATATTTGTACATTATGTCATAAGAAGTTGACATAATGTTAAAATATGTTCATATCACGTAATGATAAATTGACTTATTGGATGCACAGTGTTCTGCTACAAGGGAGCGATGGCGTTCCATAAAAATAAATGAAGGGGATATTAAAATTTAATAGCCCGACAATATTTTAAATAACGAACATACAGTTTCTTTTATTTTGTCCATCAATTGACTGAATCAATGCTTCTTTTCAATCCAATATAATTTTTTGTATAACTCATCTTTTTTTCTACATAAAAACCCCGTTGGGATCCGGGTTAGAATAAATCCTCAATACCCCCTTGCATGTCGTAAAAGGCGACTAAATGGGCGGTCCTTCGTATGAGACCGAATAAACCGAGGCCCCGTGTCACAGCGGGTGTGGCACGATAAAGATCCCTCCCTGCTCAAAGGCCGTAAGTGCCGAGCATAGGCCTAATTTTGTAGCCCTTCCCCGGCAATGGTGACGTCTCCATATCAGTCAAATATTCTGGAGAGGGATGTTAAACAGTATTCAATCAATCAATCCCACATAAAATCCTTACCTGTTATTTTGCTGTTGATATCCTTACCCATGTAAAGAAAACTACAGTTGAAATACAACAACACACCTTGTGTTTGTAAATTCCCCATTTTTGAATGGTCACGGCAAATCACCGGTAGAGCTATCACCAAAGTCAACGAATAGTTATAAATAAAGATATAATTATCCATACTGACATTATTCTGATTAAACAAAAATATTTAGTTCTATAAATCACTAGAATTGAGAACTAAAAGGTCCACATCGGTGTAACATTTAGGGAATAAATTTCTATATGGATATTGTATATATAATTCATTGTTCTCATTGATTTTGTTTCTTTTTTGTATTGCTTGACCCATATGGGTGTAATATGCAATAAAGATTATATTATATTATATAAATTTATCTTTTTTTAATTTGGATTTCATCACTGCCAAAACTTTTACTCCAATCGACCCTCAAGTTATAAAGGTGTCATGCTTGCTAAACAATGGGTTCAAATCATCTGTCGTTTAAACGGCACACTTATGACCAATGAAGTTTTTTCAACAATTAATGTTTAAAACTACATGCACTTGTTATAATTAAATAACTGGTATCAATTAATACCTATGTGTGAAAGTAATTGCGCATGGGATGGTTTGTTTACGTAAACACAAACAGCGCTTGGAAGCATTGTCAGCAATATGTATATATAAACGGATTTAACTACGGAAAAAATAAGTTCGTGTCCTACTTTCGTTTTCAATTTAATTCAAATATTTCATTTCTTTAAAAATGTTCTTTACATTATTATTTCCGAGGATTTCCCGACACTTTGGCAAGTTTGGGAGGACGCGTGCAATCGTAACAAGAGCGCATTCTTAACCTGCGACTTAATGGTAACAAATTTGAATTCACCAAAATATTATCCACCAAAATTAATTATATACCTTAACAGCCTAAAATCGCCAAATTTGAGTCCCGCCAAAAAAACGGCTTTACGGTATCAGTTTTGAGGTACTTTATAATTATTTTTTTTTTTTTAGATACTGTAAAACGAGAATATATGGAGCCTAATTTAAGCGCCATTGGAGCAAGAGCTTCTGAACGCTTAAGTTTGTTGTGCGCTAACGGATTTCAAAATATTATTTCTTGTGTGTGCTCAATGCTTTCACATTCCTACATGTAAGCGGAACGCGCAATTACGTAATGTCGAAGGTCATTGGATTTTTAATTTGATACTTGTTGCTCTAAACTTATCATTAACACCTTCAAAGTTTAGCTTCTCGGCGTGTCAGTCATCTATTGCTTCGAGGTAAACAATTCAATCAAGCATGGCGATTGGGCTTGCAGACAATACCTGGTAAAGATTTCTGTTTATCCAAATAACTTTCTTTCTGTCGATCCATGTACTGTTTTTATAGAAGGATATGGAGATAACGAACAGTATTCAATCTCAACGTCCATTAAACAATATACAAAATAAGAGCAGAGCAAACACGGACCTTCCAAACATCAGAGGTGGGATCAGGTGCCATGGAGGAGTGAGCATCCCCTGCCGACCGGTCACTACCGCCGTGTGCTCGTTGTCATGATCAGGAAATAAAGTCGTCAATTCAGTGTATAAATAACAATTGGTATGAAAAACGTCAGTCAGCATTTGACTCAATGATAAATTGTATTTGCTGACAAGGTCATTGTATCGAGCATAGAATTTACGAAATGATGACTTTTAACGACTGTTGATATTCTTGTCAACTAGCTTGTCAAAAATTTCCTCGTTTAAGAAATTGTTCATACGTAGAGCACGCTCTTGCGTATCGAATCAACTGAGATATATATACTCCGTATGTAGGAGATGACGGTATATTGCTGCATAAGTAAGGGAAGTTAACGATAGAAAAGTTAAAGTCATCGCGTTTATCATATAGCTTGGTTGTTAGATTACCATCAGTGTCTTTTTTTTAAGTAAAATATCCAAGTATGAAGCAGAAGTGTCGGATATGAATAAAATGCGTAAATACTCCACATTTTTCTTTTATTCCAAAAATTAAAATAAATTGACATATTGCCGAGTCCATGTATTTGCAACATCACAGTATAGTTAAAATTACACAAATTACACTCAGTTAAGATTAACAGATGAAAATAAATGTCAAAATATGTTAGCATAGTGCAAAGTAAGTGTACTACAATAACAGGATGTTTGAAGTATTATGTATATTCTTAGAAGGCATAAACTATAATGTAATCTGTCCATAACATTGCCAACGGTATTTATCGGAAACGTTTAGGAAAACTACCTTGCCGTCTAGAATATTGATAACTTCTTATTACTCGTTTATATATCAATCACAGATTTTTGGACAAACTTCATACTATTGACTTATAGGCGAGAATATAAGGTAATAAATTAAATTCAGAGTTGAAATGTGCGAAATCAAACCCATTCAATAGCAGTATCAGCGCTTGGTCAATGTTGTTCATGGAGTTTAACAAATTGAGTACACCCCTAAGACGTACACAGTTTTGGTAAACAGGGCACGAGCTCTGTTGTTGTTAATGTTTACGTTTTACTTGGTGTTTTCAATTGCTTAACTCTACACTCTGCACAGACTAACAAAACTGATGTGTTTTTTTCCTGCACACTCTGCTCTGAATTTTCTGGATAATAGTTTTAATATTTTTTCATTAATACACAACAAAATTGATACATTTTTAAGTATTAAGGATAGTTACAAATTATGAAGGTGCAAGGATGTGTGAATCAAAGGCGTCTAGAATTTTGATATTATGATAACTTCTAGGGAAAAAAATGAGTTTTATTATCCTTTCGTATAAGTAGTTCTATAGCATCATATAAGATATGAAATTATACAGGGAATTTGAGAAATTCTTAACATCAAATCTGTGCCTTAGCACCCTTTAGTAACCGTTTCGCAAGTTCCATGATCGATACAATGACCTTGTAAGGAAATATAATTCATCATGAAGTCAATTGCTGATTGACGTTCTTGATACTGATTGTTACAGAATTATTTACAGTGAATTTAAGAAGGATTTTAAAGTTATTTTCCGGTCATGACTTAGAGCTGACTTAGAGCACACGGTTGTTGTGACTGGTCAGCAGGGGATGTTCACTCCACTTTGATACGTTATCCCACCTCTGATGTTTTAGATGTCCCTATTTGCTCTGCTCGATCCTGATTTGTACTGTGTTATTGACTTTGTGCTTGTATACTCTTCATTTTGTCCATATATTACAAATTGACGATGTCTTAGGAATGTTTCTTGTCCACATGAAGTGTGATAAAAGAAACTTGCATTTAAAAAATTGAAAAGTGATTCAAATGGCCCCTTAAAATAAATATTTTCATTTTTTTAATATACACTCTAATCAATACATTATTATGACTTTTATTGATAATTTTCAATTTGATAAGAAAGCCATTAATTTAGACAAATCACATCATCAAGTGCACTTTTCCCAGTCAATTTAGCATATCTTGTATAAAACTGCTCATTTTGCCTTTTTTAAGCAAAATATCCAAATATGAAGCAAATACCCCCGGTATGTCTCACAGATGAAATCAATATTATGCTCAGAAAAAAAACCTCTAAAATCTACGTGAATCACAGAATCGAAGGAAACAAAAAGAAAAAAACTCGCTAAAACTATGTATTATGTTTAATAGAAAATAAAATGACAGAGGACGACATGAAATATATAATAACATCAATATTATTATGATATATCACTGTATAATTATAAAGAAACTGGTATTACCATTTACTTGACATTCTTATTTAATATTTATGACAACAATTACATTACACATATGTGATAATTATATGTGAAGGTGTTCTTAATATTTGAATGATCAATTTATTGCAACTTTAAATGTAAATTATACATTGTATTACCGATACATTTTACAATATGTCTAAGGAGCTATTATTCCATAACGTAATACAAATAAAACGGTTTCACATGTACTACTACTAGTATCTCATGCGATAATTTTAAAACCTAAGTACCAGAATTGACCAGGGAATAACAGAAAATACTAAAAAATCTCTAACCTAATAAATACTGTGAAATACAAAATTATTTTTTCTAATTCACTTAACCTATGAAAATCTTAGAAGTAAAATAAACATATATAAACGCAAAAGATAAATAAAACTGAGTTTGTCCTAAATTGCATTTTCTAATATTAATAATATATCACTACTCCAGGCCCATTCCCATCAACATTACGAAGCAGTACATGTTACCCCTATTGTATAATTTCAAGAACAAAACTGAAGTTTTTGATTAATGTTTCATTTCAGTGTTATAAAATAATTACGTTTATAAATAAAGATCATAAATCCAAGAACATAATAAATTGTTTTATTCCATCTATATTATTATGTTTTAACCAAAAAAAGCTTCTTCTTTGGTTTTGATATTCATACTATATTCTACACTGAATCCCAAGATCCTTCTCAAGGTACATTAAAAATCCCAAATGGGATCTTTAAATTTATTTATTGACCTTTGTATAGAATAATCTGCCCCGAGCATAAAGAAATATAAGTGGAATTTTAGTAAACTGTGCTGTGTTTAAATTATTTTTGAAATTCTAGGATTGACCAGATTTTTAAATCAAAAACAGCAATACCAGTTTGTAATCTTATCTTATATTTTACAGATCTATACCTAACCAAATATGATTGAATTTATTGTTAATGTTTGCTCTCTCCTATTTCCCGAAAAATTTCAGTATATTTGAGAAAATAACTTATATTTCAAGGGTATAAATAGTTTGTCCACTGTTTTTATTAAATTTTAAGTCATTCTTAGCGTTTTCTCTCGAACTGTTTTGAAATCAATATCTGTATTCGTTTTTTCACTCTATTCTAGAAGTTAATCATGGCTTTAACAAGCAAACATAAAGAAACGTATACTATAACCAGAAAGCTCCCTTCTTTCAAAGGTGAAGAATTGGTTTCATCAGTTGTGGTCTCTATAGTTGTCATGTCGGAACAGGTCAAATTTGCAGCTGATAGACTGAGCAATGAAGCTCCTTTTAAGTTATCAGGAGTGAAGCAGCGTGGAGGTACATATACGGGGACACGTCCAGATTTTAGGAAATCAACCAGGCCTATCAACTCGCAGTCGCAGTGAAAAGGATTATCATGTACTTTCCTGAATAAAATAAAAAAAACCCATGCATTTCAATTCCTGAATACTATTCAACCTTTAAAAGAAAAAAATGGTGAACAATACCTTACATATATATATACTTAAAAAAAAGAAACGCAGAATCTGTCTGTCACACAGAGTTCGAATAACATTGATTTTAGAATAAATGCGACCATAATATCATTAAGACGAGAAATTACTATGTAATATCCATTAGGTTATATTACTTACTACTTTAATTTGTTGCATCGCATCGTCTGATTAATGAAAAAACGCGATTTTAACCCCACTCAAAAAAATTGGGAAAAACTGTTCTATTTACAGCTCGAATTTCCTCCTTAAATAACATTCCACTGAGCACGTGGTTGGCATGTGCATATATCTGTTGTAGATAGATGCGTTTATTACAATGTATATATTTAATTTTTCATGGAAAAAGTCTTGATTATTTGTCGGTTTCTTTAAAACTCAAGAAAAAGATAAAAATGTCTTTAACATGTGTGTTTACGGTGGGTCTCCTTTTTTGCTGCAATCGAAGTTATCTGTGACAGACTTACAAACTCCTTATTTTTAACTTTGATGATGCTCATTTTTCCTTACCTGGAATCAGAGAGTTTAATATTTTTTATATCAAATAGTACACTATTTAACAACTGTTCGATAATTATACTAAATAAATAACTTTGAGCCACACTATAAAACATTTCTTATCTTAAAAGTGTTCATATTATTTGTAATATTTTGCAACTGTAAGTCTCTTCTACATTTAAAGATTGCTATGTCCCTCCATATTAAGAAGAGGTTTAGAAAACGAAATTCTGTGCTTAAAATAGACCACGTACTGTTATCCATGAACTACTTTCATCACCCCTACTAATGTTATTGTGATTTAAATTCAAGACACGAGGTTTAGATTTACCTATTCAAAGGTTATAGGTTAGATCCGATTTTATAAATAAAATTGGCAGTAAACAGGAAATTGCTATAGTCTGTTTCTTCTGAAACATGTCCAGTGAAAAAAGTGTGTTTGCACACCTTTCTGAAAGACTTTCATGATTTTCAACAGAAATGGATGGCTTAAGGGGTGGTGGTGGTAAATAACAATTAATACATCTTATACTTAAAAGCAAAAATTACAGCTCACTAGCGACCGAGATGCTTGTAAAAAATGTATATCATTTACACTGACAAACCTTTGTTTGCCTTACATGGCTATTGCTATTAATGCGCACAGAGGATCTTACCACGAGCACGCCAAATACATGTTTACATGTTACTTCGAACACGTGGATCAGGTCAATCTATGATCATATCAATGGAGTGCAAAGTAAAAAAAAATGTTCCTATGAAACATTAGAAACTATTATGAATATCACTGGCGTTTTTAATTTGTTAATAACTATAGAGAAAAATATGCTTAATAAAACGTATACGTAGTTCGTGTCAAGTTCAGAACACCAGCAATTCAAGGATAAGGAAAACTAGCAGCTTCTCCTATGCGTTTAAGTGGACAAAACATTTTTTACATAACTATACATGTATGCTCGTGATCATGTGTGTTGGCAAGGGAATACACCTGGCAACTGTATTCACCGATAGTAAAATAAAGGAATTTATAAAGCGTAAAATTCCTGTAGTATTCATATTGTAAACCATAATGCAATTCTCATTCATCTGATTTGTCAGTTAAAGTCACATTGGTGCCCCATTTGCTAATCTGACGCCAAAAAATATAGCCCCGGTTCCCATGCAAAATATTTGTCTAAAAAGAAATTCTAATTCATGAAAGCAGAAAACTGTATCAAAGAAAAAACTTTAAAATAATTTAAACTTGAATGAATTCAAGAAAGATCGATTGAAGTACATTTCTACAGAATGATATCATAGGGTGGTGAAATCTAAAACACAACATAACTTTTCTGTTTACCATGTCTCCACGTGCTAGTCACTTCCTAGCCACATTTCCGTGAACAAGTTTATCTTTTAAAAAGATAGGTGAGCTAGCGCCGTAGCAATTTTTAAACACAGAAAGGAAGATCCGTGATCAAGTGATTTATTTTGCCGAATTTTTTAATTTTTATCGAGGCTGGAGAGTGATAAAGTTATTATTATTTTGTGAAGCGTATTTTATAGACACATAGGTAAAGAAACAAGGGGGGGGGTGACCTATTGGAGTTTTGGTGCAACGGAACACATATGACTTTTACTGCAAAGGGGGGGGGGGTCTATATAATATGAATAAGATGGCGATTGAGACATTGCATGTTGAGCTGATTCAAAGAAGAGAATTTAAATCTTGGCAATTTAGCAAAGAAAATACATGGGAGTCGAAAGGAATATAGAAAATAACTCATTTAGTGTATGTTGTGTAAAGAGTCCAGAGAGTTTGGAACGCATGTGAAGTAGCTTGGTCCCTTGGATCATCTTTGTCAAGATATGTTAGGTTAAAAGCCATACATATAAGATTTTTTTTAAACACAAATAGTGGATTTATTCGTTATTTTTAGTGTAAATTCTTGCTTCTGTTTCTGGAATTTGTAATATTGGCTGAACTGACCAATCAGAAATTAGAATCTATATTTGGTTGTGCTTAGATAAAAAAAAAACTCCCTTGACATCAATTGTTTAGAACAATCAGATAGTGACTCGGGCTTTCCCATCAGCAAAAAAAAAAAACCAAAAAAAAAAACCCAGAATTTAAAATATTATAAATATGAAGTTATCTTTAAAGTGTAATGATACAGCGAAATTGTTGTCGTACGGTCTATCTGTAGTAGTTTTCACAGTTTTCCCAGAATGCACCACCATGGCGGCCGAGCATGCGTATTCAAGGAATTTGGACTAGCGTAGTTGCTAGCGCTCGAGAGCGCTAGCAATAATTTACTCTATCTCGCTGAAGTCTCGCTAGCTCTCGCCGGAGACAATGTCAGAGCTACTCTGAACTCATCGGGTTATATAATATGCAGAACACAGACAAATAAAAGGTTCCGAACACATTAGTAGGGGTGTTCATGGTTCTGTACACTCATTTTGAAGACAACAGTACCCAGTTTTGAACTTGAAATTACCATTTAAAAGTGCAAAATTTAGACATTTTGATTGTATAAAGAACATTAATGTACAGTTTGCATATTATTTTGGATTTTTAAGGCTCTGGTGAATGCTGTAGCTGCGCAGTTCTAAGGAGCATATTAAAAGCATTTTTCTGCAAAAGTATAGATTATATATGCACAACATGCATTCAGTTATGCATATTTATTGTATCTTTATCATAAGGACTTACAATTTGATCAAAATATAATGTATTTTAGTCATTTGAATAAATGTTTATTTTGTTCTCACTGCACTAAAATACACGTGACCTATTCAAGTACACCACGGACTTTTAAACCCCAATTGTTTAACTATTTCTTTTGATTAATAACCTTTATGAAAGTAGTGTTTTACATGATTTCCTGTTAATCGAGGAGGGGTGGGGTCTATTTTCAAAGAAAATTTGGATTTAGAGAAACAATAAACACCACTATTAAACCCATATTTTTCATTTGATTGCAATGTTGATGCTGCAATGCTACGTCTAAACAAAGATGACTGCAACAAGGCTCTAACAAGGATTCTAACCGGAACTACGCAACTGGAAGTTGCAAATGTATTTGGTATACATCAATAGGCTTTGCATCAGTTAAACGTACGTCTCCACCAGCTAGGAACACAGATGGCAGACCTAGAACTGGCCGTTCGCGGGTAACCCCACCCAAAATGGACCGTCAGTGAGAGAAGCAGGTATTTGTACATGATGTCCCTAAATTAGAAATCCACTAGCGCTGAAAGGTGGCAAAGAACATATGGATTGATAAAGATGTTGGTCTCTAGAATTTGGAGGCAACGTCAATGACATCAACTTAACTTGTCAATTTGGGACATAGGACATATTTAATGTTTATCACAACACACTCTAAAATCAGTTTTAAGAATCAATGCTTAAACTGATGATCCTGTTTAATCTGTTTAATTCTTTTTTACGTTGAGTATAGAAAGGATATCTAGTGTGATTTGATATTTGCTTCACATAGTTAAAATAGAATATATACGAGAGTCTTGCCGAGCAAATATACACTATTTCAACATGTTTGATAAAGCTAATATTAAGTGATACAATTAATCTTATAATTTGTAGTTCAATGGTGAGTTATAATGTATTCAGTCTAATGTAAGAAAGCATTGTAGAAAGTGGCTGTAAGAGTTTATAAAAATGATTGACGGGAGAAGGTGAAAGGTGATTCTGTCTTCACACTACATATACGCTGACGTTAACGAATCTGTTCTCTTGTTTATAAAATTTTTTTGTTAATTTTCATTTTTTTTTTTAAGAAAATAGTTTTGTTCATTATTCGTATTTTAAGAGAATTTTCACAAATCATATTGTTGATAAATAAGCGAGGGATTGTTAAAAAACCGAGAGTGCTTTTGATTATCCACCTACCGCGGATAAATCATAGGCTTTTCTCGTTTGTAGTATCATGCGTTTGAGATAATTTATATATAAAAGAGGGTATAAAGGAATATTCGAGTAACTCAACTATATAACATTCGTAGTTCTTATGAGGGATATATTTAAAAAGAATATTTAAATTGAATATGTGGGTAATATAATTTACGTTCAATCTTCAACACTCCTTATATCCTTCTAAATATTTTTATAACCAGGTTATTCTAATATATGTTACTCTATTCTATTCTTAGATACTTACAGGGATCGTAGATTTGTCAACCCGCTTATTGTAATATTTTTTATGGAGGATATCCTGTTGTTTTCAAGATTTCTAAAAGAAAGTTCGAACGATTGAATGTTTAGTTCCTTATGTATACAATTAATGTCAGGATTTAAAAAGAAATTAAACTGTTATTTCCGTTCTAATTCCATTCTGAAATTGTTATTACATGTATTTTCTTTTCCGTTATTCACAACTTTGAATTTATTACACATATCATTACACAATTATTACAAAAAAATTGCATAACGAACTTACAGTTCATTAAGGTTTGTCAAATCACTGAATACATTGTCCTCTATTGTGGATATTTTGTTATTGTTTAGATCCCTGAAAGAAATCTAAGGATTAAAAATCAAGTACCAGTATTTGTCACCCTGAAAATTCATTCCAACGTAGCCTCAATCTTAAAAAAATATGATCATGAAAAGCAGTGAGCCGGTGAATATAAAAGGTCAACAGGGGATGCTAGATCTCCTTCATGGATTCGGGTCTCATCTCTGATGTTATATAAAAGTACATGTTAAATTTGCTCTTAAAGTGTTTTGTTTTATTGGACTTTTGAGCCCGAGTATTGTATGTTATCTCCTTATTATGTTCCCCAAACGAAGTTGGGGAACATATTGTTTTTACTCTGTTTCTTATTATTATTATTTTTCTTCTTCTTCCTGGGTACTTTTTTGTCCGGGAATGATCTTGTTAACTGTTCATCCGATGTAGGTAAAACCTTTTTAGGGTCAGTAGACATGTTATGTAGAATTGCCTAGTCAAGGTCATTTTGCGCGCACGTGCTTGCAAGAGCGCTCACGTGCAACACGTGAAATGACCAATATGATAGATATTGCCGTAATTTTTCTACTTTTTTATGAAATGCTTTGAAACTGATAATGTGAGGATATATTAGAAGTACAGACATGGTGACATGGTCAAAATAGCGAGATCTCACGCGCATGCACGTGCGCTTCGCTCTGATTGGCTGAAACTAAAGTCTCAATATCTTTCTTGTTTTTTGACGAAATCCTTTGAAATTTTAAACATAGGCATGTATTAGGATATCCTACAATAAGATATATAGCAATTATCATGAAAACGCGTGCATGCACGTGCGCTGCAATCTGATTGGCCTATGCTTTAAATAGCCATAACTCCCTTGATTTTCAACCAAACAGGATGGGATTTGGAACATGGATAGATATAATGGACTTCTACAAGAAGATATGGTCACCATGCACATGCATACATGTGCATGTACGTGCGCTGCAATCTGATTGGTTGAAACTTTGAACAGCTATAACTCCCTTGGTTTTCAACCAAACGGGGTGGGAATTAGAACATAGATAGATGTAATGGACTTCTACAAGAAAGCATGGTCGACATGCTCATGTGAGCACGTGCGTGCAAGTGAAATGAGTAAAATAAAAAATTCACTTGAATTAGCGTATTTTTTTAATACTTTTGGATTAAATACTTTGATATTTAGTATATTAAAATCTAAAAATTGTGAAGACAAGATTATATGGTCATTACGCACGTGCATTCACATGCGCACGCGTGCAATGCTAAAATTTGAATGAAATTGGTACACTTCTGGGTAAACGTTGTTAAAGTCTCAAATGCATAGAGTTTGTCTTATTTAATGAAGCTTATAGGGAATATGGCATCAAAAGGGAGTTGGGGAGCGTTTGGGGAACATCTGTAACGGTCCCCGTTACAATTAGCACTAGTATTTTATTGTATTGTAATTACACCAGATATTTCATATCAATCAAGTGAGTTGCATGCATCAAACTGTTCGTTATTCAGGTTCAAAACATTATTAATGAGAAAACCGGAAGAAAATGACAGTTTTCTAAACATTGTTGATTCGAATTCAAAACGCAAAATGTAATACTATAGTGGATCGAAACTCCAAAAATAGGTATGTTTAGGTACTCTTAGGAAGGTTACTAAGTTCATCAAACCATTAAATAGGCTGTCCTTTATTTAATTTATTCTGTTGTTCCGCAGATGACTAGATGAAAATTATCGGAATGAAAAACACGAGGCCCATGGGCCAACATCGCTCACCTGAGCACTAAGGGTAGGAAAAAGTAGAAAATGGCCTTTTATTGTAAAGTTTGAATCCAAAAGAAGTCCCATGACCAATCATGGATTTGCTATATTTTAGAAAATGATTTTTAAAGAATTTTCCTATATATATCTTTATAAACTTTGGTCGGCCATTTTCATAGGCGTCGGAACGGGGGGGGGGGCTAGGGGGGGCTTAGCCCCCCACTTTTTTTTCCCAATATATACTTAGTATAGACATTGAACATATCTTCGTAAGTGTAGCCCCCCCCCACTTTCCATAGATACGTCTTAGTATAGGTTAAAATTGGTAAAAGTGTTGGTTTTGGTACTGGACTTCGAACCTTGCCCCCCCCCCCCCCCCCCCCCCCCCCCCCACGAAATAGGATTTTGGTGTTTGGGAAATAGACATTTCCTTTTTTTTATTATTTATTTTTTTTGCTTGTCAGGTTTTTTGGGAGGAACAAAAAAAATTTCTTACACTTAGCCCCCCCACTTTCAATTTGCTTCCGACGCCAATGATTTTGGCCCTGCCTTACCCCAGGCGGTCATGATTTGGACAAATTCGAATCTACACTACTTGAGCATGCTTCCATATACTGTAGATTGGCAAATAATCACGATGGTTTTAATTTCGCTATGTTCGCAATTTACCATTTTTTTGCGAAATTAAACCTTTCGTGAATGTCATAATTACTTTTAAGGACATACGCAACGTACCTTACCTACTGATAATTTTCCAAGATATTCTAAGTTTAAACTTATAATATCATTACATGTTCTTAGACAAAAAATCAGCATGCCTTACCAGGGGTTTTGAAAAGATATCGAATTTTGAACGTTTTTGCATAATTCAAATAAAAATTTACAAAAATTATAAAACATAAATTCCAGATTTTTTTTCATCAAAAATTGTTTTAGAAGAGGTGTACAAATTCATATATAGACATTAAAAATATTGCACACAGTTCCTTCATTTAGTGGAACTCTTCAACTCCAGGGAAGACTCCAAAAAAGTTCAAACTACGTTGCGTATGACCTTAAGAAACGTTTAAATGCTTATATGAAATTTTGAATTAATTTCTTGCAGCGTGAAATTAAAACAATCGCGATTGGTACTTTTTGAGATATCATGAAATTTTAACACCGTGGAATTAAAACAATTTACGTACAGTAAATGGTATGAAATTTTGCTTTGTTATTCTTGAGAAGAAGATTTTTAAAGAATTTTCCTATATATTTCTATGTAAAACTTTGATCGGCCATTTTGGCCCCGCCCTGCCCCCGGGGGTCATGATTTGTACGAACTTGAATCTACACTACCTGAGCATGCTTCCATAAAAATATGATGAATTTTGGCTTTGTCATTCTTGAGAAGAAGATTTTTAAAAATTTTCCTATATATTTCTATGTAAAACTTTGGTCGGCCATTTTGGTCCCGCCCTGCCCCCGGGGGTCATGATTTGTACGAACTTGAATCTACACTACCTGAGCATGCTTCCATAAAAATATGATGAATTATGGCTTTGTCATTCTTGAGAAGAAGATTTTTAAAGAATTTTCCTATATATTTCTATGTACAACTTTGGTCGGCCATTTTGGCCCCGCCCTACCCCGGGGGTCATGATTTGAACAAACTTAAATCTACACTATCTGAGGATGTTTCCCCATAAGTTTCATCTTTCCTGGCACAGTGGTTCTTGACAAGATTTTTAAAACATACCACCAAATTTTCATTAATTCCCAATCATCTCCCCTTGAATGAGGGCGTGGCCCTCCATTTGAACAAACTTGAATCCCCTTTACCCAAGGATACTTTGTGGCAAGTTTGGTTGAAATTGGCCCAGCGGTTCTTGAGAAGAAGTCGAAAATGTGAAAAGTTTACAGACAGACAGACGGACAGACAGACAGACAGACAGACAGACGGACGGACGCCGGACAAAATGTGATCAGAAAAGCTCACTTGAGCTTTCAGTTCAGGTGAGCTAATAAAAGTGAAGAACACCCTATTCAAGTTAAATAAACACTTAAAATACCACAAATCGTCAATAAAGAATGAAGGCATAGGATATTATAGTGTGAAAGACTGATATTCCAAAAATATATTTTGAATAATGAGCTTAAAGTGTCACTAATTTTGTCAAATCATTAAATTGACGAATGCATGAAATTTTTATGGTTGGGGAATTGATACCACCCCCCCCCCCCCAAATAATTAATTGACAGTCTGATTGGGTCAAATAATTGAATGAATCACAACATGGGATATAATAGTTTGGAGGATTTATATTATTATTATATTTTAAAATAACAAACTTACATTTTCCGTATTTTTTTCAAACCTCTGAATGCATGGTCTTCTATTGTGGTAATACTGTTGAAATATACATTCCTACAAAATATTATGAAGAATGAATGTTAAATGCAAGTCCTTGTACTTTTATCTTAATCTTAATAGACATTTTAATAATGAATAGAATTGATTTAATTAATTAATTTCTATTACCAGACTCACAATGCAAAAGCTGATATATTACACAGTATTATGTACATATTCGTCGATCTGAATTTCGCATTCTATATTTTCCGTTGAATCCGTAAATTGTTTATAGTATATTCTCTTCAAATATTTCAAATATATTAAGATCACGCATCATGAAGGTCATTATAACATTACTTTCCTCAATATAATTTATTTTCTCCATTCATGAGTCTACTCTTACCTGTTTTTTTAAAGGATAATCATATAAATTAGGAAAAAAACCCACAAATAATGACTTTAGGAATTGACGAGAATGATAGGAGAACAAGCCTGTCACAAACTCGTTGATAATATTACAAGTAACGGACAAGTGCCCCCTCCAATGGAGAATGGAAAACATCAAAACCTCACAAGTAGCCACTAACAGAGTGACATTGGTACAAACCATTAGGAATTACTTACATATTTCCTGTAAATTGTCAATACAGCTGTATATATGCACTGATAGTTCTTGGGATCAAGTCTACCAACACTCTTTCAGAATTCTCACGTGTTCCTATCATACCCTGTTATATGCAGACAGTTTTTTGTATTATATCCTATTCTAATCCTATATACCCCATGAACTCGAATCAAGGACAACACAAAAGAGTCTAAAACATCTACAATTCAATCTCCCTTAAAAAGAGTCGTCACTGTTAAGTCACCAACAAAACTCTACAACAAAATTATGACATCAACTCTTCCGTCGTCCATCTCCTAACTATTTCACAATGTACTTTCACCCACATATACATGTAAAGCCCCAAGCCGAGTAGATCGATATGCAGGCACATGCTTCACGTGCGAACAATTTCCGAAACAAAACAAGCTTTACAATAACAATTTCGAAAAAAAGATCATCAAAAGTCTTGCCCAAGGTCAAAATCTTGCATACTCTACAGCTAGTATAATGTCCTTGCCAGCAAATACAATATTTCAAGAAATCATGAAGCGTTGTGTTGCTTGATTGGACTGTTGAGATTGATTTCTGTTCTTTTTTTTTATTGTAACATATTGATAAATTATACGAAAGCCGGATAGGCTCATTTCTGAGAAGAAAAAAAAAATTTAACTCGTTATAACGAGTTCATTATCTCGTTATTACGAGTTAGTATCTCGTTATAACAACTAAGTTATCTCGTTATAACGAGTTCGTTATCTCTTTATAACAAGTTAGTTATCTCGTTATAACGAGTTAATTTTTCTCGTTATAACGAGTTAATTTTTCTCGTTATAACGGGTTAAAAAATTGATCTAAAGTTGATATATCTAAGTGATAGGAAGTATAGAAGTATAACATATAAAACCGAGTTGATAACGTTTGTTTATAGTGTGTATGATAAAGATTTTTTATCGAAAAACAGCAAACTAGTTTATTATTTTTGTTTTTCGAGGGGTTGTGCCTGTGATTGTATTCTGTTTATGTACAAACGATGCAGTTGATTTGTATTGTATACTTAAAAGACCGAAGACAAATACATGTACATGTATACGAAAATGTATGACTGCCTCTTGATGTTGTGTTATGAGTGGGCAGTAGCCCCCGAATTTTACCCCCATGGCCTCATTGCTGATGTCTCCATATCCCCCTTCTTCAAAACATTTCTGACTCTCAAAATAATATATATCACACTATAAGTGTATATAATATATGTTGCATTAACGCCTGTGTTAGCTTCCTATTATAATGTATTAATTTAGGTACTAAGACATTGGTTATGAAAGCTAATAAGTCATCCAAAACATATCAGAAAAATTAGTGTCTTTTATCGGAGAAAGTTGTCATAAATAAATTGCCAAACTTTGAAGCAAGAACAATTGGTAATAGATTTTTTTTAAAATATTGTGTCCTTGGAGACGTTCACGTATAAATGTGTAAATAATGATTGCTATACTTATCAATTTGTGATTATTGACAGCAAGATAGTTCAGGATTAATATTATTTACAGCATATCGCAAATTAAAATTGCAATTTTTTTATCAATTTTAAAGTGAAGTATGACTGATAATTATCAACTAAACATCAATGGTATTAAAACTACAGCCATTTTTAATTCATAGCTAACTCATTATAAAGAGATAATTAATTCGTTATAACGAGATAACTAATTCGTTATAACGAGATAACTAACTCGTTCTAATGAGATAACTAACTCGTTATAACGAGATAATTAACTCGTTATAACGAGATAACTAATTCGTTATAACGAGATAACTAACTCGTTTTTTTTATAACGAGATAATTAACTCGTAATAACGAGATAACTAACTCGTTATAACGAAAAAACTAAGTCGTTATAACGAGAAAACTAACTCGTTATAACGAGATACTAACTCGTTATAACGAGATAAGTAATTTGTCATAACGAGATAAAACTAATTCGATATAATGAGATAATTAACTTGTTATAACGAGATAAATAACTCGTTATAACGAGTTAATATTTTTTTTATCTTTTCAGAAATGAGCCTATCTTACTTTCGTAAAATTACAAGAGGCTAAGTACAGATATATTTCTATCTAGTCCTAAAAACATAACACAGTACCTTTTTTTTCTGGAGATAATCAAGATTAAGTTACAAATCTAAAGTAACAAGAATTAATTGCAGCACTGAAAATTCCAGAAAACTATAACAAACAAAAAAACCTCCATAAACATAAGATAACAATAACAGTGATGATATGAATCATTTTATGTTGTACATAAACAAAATGATTTAAGTGTGTGCCGACATTAAAACAAACCAAGAAAACAATGCTTATTTCTTGATATAGTTTAGTTAATTAGCATTATGTTATAATGTGGGGGACTGATTCTCCGAAAAGGAGGCTTACTATGGAAAATCAGCGAAATATAGTAAGTGAAAAAAATGAACTTTTTCAAACTGAATTATTTTTATTTAGCTGTTTTATTATCACATAGATTATACACTTATTGAAATAACATTGTAAACCGACTTTGTACTGAATGTAAGGTTGGTCCCCATCAATGGACAGTCACGTGATAAATGCATAGTATGTGTACTGAATCGAGGCCATTAACAAATTGCAATATCGCAAGGACATGTCCTAGTTAAAATTGAAAAAAATATATATGTTATTAATCGTTTCTGCATTTTTCGAACTTTCTGGAAAGTGCTACTGCTTTCAATAGAATTCTCATTTTATTAGTTAAAATTTCGTATAATTGGGCTCATATCGAAATATGCTTGACTAAGCATTTTATGTCCTAATTAAGTAACTCTCTGGATTTAAAAAAAAGCAGCAGCACTTTTCAAGTTAAGGAACATTTACATTCAAAAAATGGTTAAGATCTTTTGAGTTTATGTCCATCCCAATGTTAAAAATGTCACTTAAACACGGTAAAATTAATTAAATACAATATATCGATAATTGGACTTTTACAAGAAACACTGACTTCTACAGTTGACGTTTATTTGGACATTTAAACTTGTATCATGTACGGAAGTACAGGATTGATAATGCATAAGAAAACTTTTCTTGTGGTCATAGGTATGGTGTTAGGGGCACTAACTTGTGAAGTCCGGGAGCTGAGGGTAGGGTCGTTGTCGTTTTCTTTAAGGACAACTTATATGTGCATTGAAATAACCGTTATTTCCGTTTAATTAAATGTTGAGCTAAATATTTATATCGTAAGGGAGCTACCGTACATAGCCCTAGTGTAAAAGTAAGCGTCAACTGTAAAAGTCAGCGCTCTTCGTAAAAGTCCAATGATTAGTATTCGCACAAAAAAACGGTTTTATATTGGTATGAATAGCCCATCTAAAACCTCTAACTAATGTTCTGTTTAATCATGAAATAAATGTTTATAACCCGCTATGTGAGATTTAACTAGCATTTTTTAATGCATTGATAAGTTGTATTATTTAGGCTAATGCAGCTTCAACTTGCAAATCATTTCATTTTCTTGTTTAATGAGGAATAACTATTTATGTGTGAGGTCACAATAAATTCCGCGTATAATGTTTTAGTGTTAACAATGCTGCAGAACTCTTAAAAATAAAACTTACAGCTCCCTTAAATTCGTCAAACCAGTAAAGGTGTGGGTTTTGATTGTAGTTATTTCGTTAAAGTTCATATATCTGGAACAAAAAAAAAGAAAATGTCAAGAGGAAGTCTTTTTTCAAGCAAATAATTATATAAAGGACAAGATAGGGTAAGACCAGTATTTGGCCCCCGATTTTGGGTGTCTTTCAGAATGATCCAACAGTTTATCCATGAAAACCTGTTTTCACCCCTGCCACAAAATGAGTACTAGTTTTAAGATTAAGAATAAACAAAGGTCACAGTGAGGTCAGGAAATAGGTCAATTTTCGAAATTTCTCATTTCTATGCAAATTTTCACTAATTTTACAGCACATTTTCTTTCGGAAAACATAGAGCACACGCTTGCCTATTTACCAAATTTATATATTTTATACACTGATATCAGATGCAATATATGTGTAAAAATCTCAGATAGGCAAGCGTGTGCTCTATGTTTTCCGAAGAGTAATGTACCCAAAATATGATTAAAATCCACCAGAATTGAGGAAATTCGGGAAAATGACCTATTTCTGAACCCTTTAGTGGCTTCCATGTAGCCTTTGAATCAAAATTAGTGCTTGTCTTAAAGTAAGCATCATTTTAACTTCTTAACTACAAACTATCACAGTTTTATCAGTGTTCTGATTTTTATATAAAAAATTCGGCTGTTACCCTATCTTGTCCTTTACGTGAAAGTTTATTTTGTAAGAAAGAAAATACAGATGAGTTTCAACTATTACGAGTATATTTTTATCTAGATTCGCAATGCCAATACATGAAATTTAATCGGTACATGTACAACATGATGGGACAGTTTACACTTTATTCAATGCAAATTTTACGTGAAAGTTTATATTGTAAGAAAGAAAATACAGATGAGTTTCAACTATTACGAGTATATTTTTATCTAGATTCGCAATGCCAATACATGGAATTTAATCGGTACATGTAGAACATGATAGGACAGTTTACGATTTATTCAATGCAAAGCGTTTATTATGAATGAATTAATGAAGAATGGACGTGAAATAAATACCCCATTCAAATAAAATAAATGGGGAAGTTTGCTCTTTAAATACCAAAAAGCATCAATATTGAATGAAGTCAAGGTATATAGAATGAGAGACTGATATTCCTGATAAAATATTTAAAATAATGAGCTTCAATTCCCTCTAATCTTGTAAAATCATTGAATAACTGAATATTTGAGATTTTAAGAGTTGGGGAACTGATAATGATCAACTTACATTTTTTCTAATTTTGACAAACCATTGAATGCATTGTCCTCTATTGTGGAAATTCTGTTTCCAATTATTACCCTGAAAGATATTGTAAGAAGTGAATGTCAAGATCAAGTATTTATAATTTTACCTCGTTCCTAACAGAAATTTTATTAATGAAAAATTCCTAATTACATTAATAATTCTTATTAGCCTCACAATGCAATCAGATACATCAAAGATTATTATGCACATATTCCTCAACCTCATTTGCGCATCCCACATTTTCCTTTGAATCTGTAGGTTGTTCATAGTTCATACTTTTCTGTATATTTTATTTTCTCCATCCATGAGTCTACTTTTCCCTGGTTATTTTTTTTTTCAAATATAGCTACAAACTGTTTATCATTAATAGAGATCGAAGATTTATTAAAATGCCAAACAAATTAATGAAATATATTAAAAAATTACAGATACCAATGTTTTAATGTATCCACTATAAGGATATTAATATACATTACGAAAAAATACAAGTAAAGACTATATAGTAATTGGCAAGAATAATGGGAGACACACTTGCAACAAACGTGTCGATAACTTACACAAGTTATTGACAAGTGTCCCTGTACTAGTTAGTCTAATGGGAAATATCAAAACCTCCAATGTAGCGACTAAAAGAGAAACAATTCAACAAACCATCAAATGCACGAATTTACTTCACATTTCCTGTAACTTGTCGAATATCTATATACCAGTAATAGGATCAGTCTACTAGCAATCTTTCAGAATTTTCACGTGCTCTTATCGTACACTGTTATAAGAAGACATATTTCGTATTTATATTCCTTTAATCTTATACACCCCATAAACTCTGAACAAACAACAACACAATAGTCCAAAACATCTACATTTAAATCCTCCACTAGAAAGAGACGCCAATGGTAAGTCAACAATAAAACTCCACTACAAAGTTACGACATCAAACCTTCTATCGCCCATCTCCCTAATTTATTTCGCAATATACCATGAACACCCACATATGAAGCCTATGTCCTTAGACGAGTCAATACCTGAATACATGCAGGCACATGCTTCACGTACGAACACTTTCCAAAACGAGGCAAGCTACACAATAACAAGTCCATGAAAAAAGACCATAAACAGTCTTGTCCGAGGTTATCATATTGCATACTTAACAGCTAGTATAATGCCCCTGCCAACAAAAACAATCTTTCATGAAGTCAAGCGTTGTGTAGAACATCTGAGATTGATTTCTGTTCTTTATATTCATATTTCATTGTAACACATTGATAAATTACAGTGAGCTACAGTACCGACCGGTGTCGCATAATATACGTTCCGGTCGGAACCTTAAAATCATAATATTGGTTCCGGATTTTACTGTAACATAGGTTCCGGCTATGGCTTCAATGCTTGTATCGCGGTACCTGTCAGATGTTCTGATCAAAACAACTGTAGACCTGTAAAACGGAAAGTTTTTACTGCATATGTGCAATCTTGAGCCTTTGTAAAAATTCTATAAACAAATAGGAAATCAAATACCTAAAATTATTATTGAAAAAAGGAGAGAAAGAAAGTTCTATCTAGAAAGAAAAACACGATGTCCGTGGTCTTCACACATGCAGCAGTTACGATATATCCTTTAATTCTACACTCTCGGATCAAACAATTTAAATAAATCAAAAACATACCCCATCCTCCCCCAACCCCCCCCCAACCCCCACCCCCCACCCCAAAAAAAATGAATTAAATTTTGGTAAAATTTTATAAGCAAATGCTTTATAAAGGTTATAATTATATCAAATACTGTAATAAGAAAGTAAAGACAACACCGCGGGCGTTTGATTTTCTCGGCAGGCGTGCTCCATGCCGTATGCAAACTTTAAAACTAAAAAAAAAACTCCTATCTGTGCTTTTAAAATTATAAACTGTGTATCAAACTAAAAATTATACATGTATCAACTTAAAAACACAAATAAACAAATTTCATTTCATTTCCTTAACAAAATATTTAGAAGTCCCGAAACGTGATAGCCCAAGTCCCGAAACGTGTTAACCCAAGTCCCGAAACGTGTTGCCAGGTCCCTAATCATCGCGGTCCAGAAACATCCATAATTCATAAGATTTACCTAAAATTTGAATATAAAAGAGTATTTGATAGCTTTAAAGTGCAGGTATTTGGGATACCTAGAATACACAGTTGTAATGATTTCGCGTACATGTACTTCCCAGTGTTTTGATAACCATTTCCTCTTAGCCCTGGTTTCTAATTAGTATGCTATGGTATACAGGTGAGAGATACCCATGGTTCACAGTGTCAAAGGTTAAACTCTTAATGTTTTGATAACAAAATCCTGTGGCTTGATTTTTGAATGCTATGGTATTCAGGTATCAGGGATACCTATAATACACACAACCAGTTGTTTTTATAACAATATATTTCATAAATTTTTGCTCCTAAGTCAGTTTTTGGCGAGACGAAGTTAGCCCGGAACCAAAATTTATGGTGATAATGAATGTTCCGGGTGACAATTTCTGAAAGATATTTCATATATTTTTGCTCCCAAGTTGTTTCTTTTCCAGTTTTTGGCGAGGCGAAGTTAACCCGGAACCAAAATTTATGGTCATAATAAACGTTCCGGGTTAGAATTACCGAAAGATATTTCATATATTTTTGATCCTAAGTTGTTTCTTTTTCAGTTTTTGGCGAGGCGAAGTTAGCCCGGAGCCAAAAAATTATAGTCATAACTCATAATGAACGTTCCGGGTGACAATTTCTGTAAGATATTTCATAAATATTTGCTCCTAAGTTTTTTCTTTTCCAGATTTTAGCGAGGCGAAGTTAGCCCGGAACCAAAAATTATGGTCATAATGAACGTTCCGGGTTACATTTTCTGAAAGATATTTCATATATCTTTGCTCCTAAGTTGTTTCTTTTCCAGATTTTAGCGAGGCGAAGTTAGCCCGGAACCAAAAATTATGGTCATAATGAACGTTCCAGGTGACAATTTCTGAAAGATATTTCATATATTTTTGCTCCTAAGTTGTTTCTTTTCCAGTTTTTAGCGAAGCGAAGTTAGCCGGGAACCAAAAATTATGGTCATAATGAACGGGTTACATTTTCTGAAAGATATTTTATATATTTTTGCTCCTAAGTTGGTTGTTTCTTTTCCAGTTTCTGGCGAGGCGAAGTTAGCCCGGAACCAAAAATTATGGTCATAATGAACGTTCCGGGTTACATTTTCTGAAAGATATTTCATATATTTTTTCTCCTAAGTTAGCCCGGAACTAAAAATTATGGTCATAATGAACGTTCTGGGTTACAATTTCTGAAAGATATTTCATATATTGTTGCTACTAAGTTATTTCTTTTCCAGTTTTTGGCGAGGCAAAGTTACTACTAAGTTGTTTCTTTTCCAGTTTTTGGCGAAGCAAAGTAAGCCCGGAACCAAAATTTATGATAATAACTATCCTGGCTGTAGTTTTTGAAAGATATTTAATTTTTACTATTTTGTTGTTTCTTTTCCAGTTTTTAACGAAGCTACGTTAGCCCAGAACCACAAATTGTGTATTAATTAACACTGATGCGTGAAGCGAACCCCGCTTTAATCTCACCGCCAGTAAACCCCGCCCCTTGTATATTCCAATACAGAAACCATGGTAACGGTACATGTATTGTTCATCGATCATGGTTGTTTATACGACGATGCGGACATATACACTGTACAATCATGTAAACAGTGATATAACGGAGAACATTGATAAATTTTCTAAAATTCAACTGTACATTCGATGTAGATTTACATGTACATGTATAATTGATTTCCTTGATTTCTCGATTCCGAAAAATTCAGACTTATTTAACAGCGGGTTAAAAGGCATTTATTTTTTTTAAGTTATAATACGAAAAAGAAGAGGAAGAAAAGAGTGTTCAATTAATTTTCAGTGTATCGAATGGTGTACAAGTGAAACTGACGAAAGAAATCTAAACTAAATACCTTCTAAATTCATGCTTTATATATATAGTTTAAAAATACCTTTATTATTCCTTAAGTTTTTTTCTAAATCGTAGTTTAAATGTTTGCTTAACACATGAATTATGATATCGCATCTATAAATTACATGTGACCCTTTGTACATCTAATATATTTAGATTTCATTCAAAGTATATAATTACACATTAAAAGTTCATAATAAATATTAATCGGACATTTTTTTTTTTTTTAAAAATTACACTGTATATTAGATCTTTTTCAAAGTTCAGAAGTTTGGAGCGAGTATAATTTTTATCAGAATAAAGAAAAGGGCGAATAATAATTGCATGTTCTCCCGAACCGATAAGAATATATTAATATATGCCCACTATTTCACAAACACATTGTCTTAAAAAATTCTAATTATTTAACTAATTTATTTCTGATTTCTCAATTTACGTGTTACATTAAATTATTCAAAATTATACAAAATTTACATTAAAATTATTGATCTTCTTAATCTTCTTGATCTTCTTGGGCATGAAATATGAAAATCTTTCTTATGGATGGACAGAATTAAGTAATTCCGCCTTAATGGTATTAACAAACTGAATGACTTCACCAGAATAAATATAAATTAGACCCAATTCCTAATGATACTTAAGAAGATTATTCTTTTAATTTCGTGCAACTCTACAGTTAGTTTGCGTTAACAACTTTCGAACAACCCACATACCTACATTTATATATGTATTGCTTACGCCTTTATTAATAATTTTTCTCGATAATTAGTCCTAAAACATTTCAAAATTTATAATAGATCATAAATCATATGTTAAAATGTCCCTTCTATATTATATTTCTTTGATTATTCTTTATCAAGTATAGTTACGCCATTTTGAGAGAATGAAACATTGTACGATTGACTGATTGTCGTAATTAATTAGCGTAATTGATTCGTTCAATTATGTAAATCGCACTTGACCTGCGTATACCCGATAGACCGGACAAATTTCAAAGCGGTCCAAATTTCTTTCTTTAAAAGTGTTCATAAAAATTTCCAATTCAACATGTAACTATATAAATATATAGTGTTTAGTAGTG